TTTTTTCTCTTAAACACCCAATATTTTTTACTAAAAAGAAGCTGTTAAATAACAATAACATATTAGGACCAAATTACCTTGAAAGACTAAAAATAAAAAAAAAATATGATTCTGAAAGTATTTATTATGCAATATTAAATTTTATAATTGTCCAGTTTTTTCTTGCTTTTTGTTCATAAATAATTTCAAAATTGTAGTTCAAAAGATGTTTTAAAGTAGAAAAAAATGTGTATTCATCAATTTTTATTACATTTTTGTTTAATTATTATAATCAAAATTTTCATTGTTGCATTTGGGTCGAAATTTTTGAGTAAAAAGTAGAAAAGCACAAGAGGAATTTTTTGCTTGTTTTCTCAATAGTTTCAATTTTTTTCGGTAATGGAAATTTTTAAATCAATTTGTTGTCGCAGTAAGATATTCAAAATGTTAAAAAATCGAGGTCAAAGACTTTAAATTTTCATATTGCAGTTTATAAATTAAACATATATTTTTATTTTTCCCCTTTTCCTATTACTGAAATTTTGAGTTTTCAACTGATTAAAATTTGTATTAAAAAATGAATAAAAATATTAGTAGAAAATAATTAAAAAACTGCCTTTTAGGTAACAATTCAGTCATTTTTGATGACAATTTTGGACAAAAAAAGTTGTCTAATTTCAAAAATAAAAAACCCGATACTCAAGTTTCTTGAGTTACTTTATTAAAACCTAATTCTTCACTGTTATAATTGTGATTTAATAATTTATTGTAATAGAAAATTTGTAGAAATTTTTGATAAAAATTGTAGCAATTACCCATAATAATAGAAATTTCTCTTAAAAACACTGATTTTTTTTTAATACAAAACTTTTAATAATATCTAAAAACTAGGAGCCTAGAACAATAGAACTTAAAAAAAATAACAGCAAAAACAGATCTTATTTTAACACTAAACAAATTTCAAAATTGTAATTTAAAAGCTGACATATCTTAGAAAAAATAGCGTATGTGGTATTTGTCAGTATTTATTGCATTTTTTTCTTCTTCTTTACCATATTTAATCTTCTCTTCTTTACCATAATCAGTCTTCTTCTTCTTTTCAACATTTTCTTTGTGCCAAATGTCTTCAAAAATTATTTTTTAGGTGCTATTTTGTCTGATTTTCAACCATTTTTTATGTGCCTAATTTTCGGTGGTATAAATTTTGAGGTTTTTGAAGGATTTTTGCTCTTTCTTGGTCGTTTTATGTTTTTTGTGGGCTGTTTTTCAATTATTTTTGCATATACAAAATGTTTGAACTTAAAGGTGAATCATAACGCCTTGAAATTTTAACTTTTTTATATACAGGATAAGGTCTTATTTTTTTATATTACCTTCAGGCAGAGCAAAATAATTTTTAAAACATATTTATCGATAGATTTTACATTAAAAAACTTTTTTTTTGTTCGTTTTTTCATATTTCCTCTATTTTTTGCAAGACAAATTGTTCAAATCAATTTTTGTCGCGGTGTATTTATCAATAATTAATGATAGAATGTTAAAAATCGATAAACGCAAGGTTCAGTCTAATAATACTTAAATTATTGTTATTATCATAGTCTACATTTCCTGCTTTCCTTCGATTTTGAATTATTAAAATTGCTATTAACATTTCGGATTGAAAGTAAACAAAATAAAACTAGTACATTGACAATTGCCCTAAAATTGCGTTTTATTTCAATTTCTTATTCCAATTAACTGATATTTTGGATTAAACTACACGGACAGGCTTTTTCCCAACTCTAAAAATTTCAAAATTGTTTTTTTAATGAATAATTTTGGGCCGTGGATGAGCAGGAGCACGTCCTGTGACCATCTGTTACGAATGACAGTTCATCGAATTATAATAACTTTTCCTTGAATAAAACCACAGTAATTAAATTCATTGATTTAAATATCAACCACAGCAATATGTTTCTCAAGTTTCAATTCATAATTCAGTCGATTTTACGTAACATTAACAAATTACGTGGTCGTGTTGACTGCCTTGAAACGAATATGAATGAAAATCTTGGGTCAGAATAATCAATGAATGGGAGATGGATTTTACAAAGTGAAAACTTTGAAGTTCGGATTGGAAATAACACATCATCGGGGAGATTGCAAAGAGGAAAGAGAGATGGCGCTACCGATGTGAATGGGACATTTTATGAGAAAAAGTGGGTTTTAAACTAAACTCGTTTACACTTTGACATTATGAAATTTCTAGTTAAAATCTAGATGAATATTTTACTGCGATTATATTTATTTTAATAAATCCTATATTC